TTTGTGGACGCCATGTGACACTGTGGCATCAGAGCCATAGGTGGATGCTTAGGGCAGACCAAAGACGTTTACTACTTGCAACCCCACCCTCAAAGCCATGCTTCTCTTGTAGGTTATCATCCCACCCTTCCGTGACCCTTTGAAAAAAGCACAAAGGGACAAGGATGAAGAAAACAGAACTCTTCTTCAGTGTGAGACTGGTACTTACTTACTCCTAAGTGTGATGGGGTTTCACGGCCCAGGAACAACTGGGGTTGCATTGAAGGGTGCTGATGTGGGCTACGAATCTTCCTGCAGGCAAAATCTACACAATGAGACAATTTAAAGAGGTGGAGAAGTCCAGGTTTCCAAGAATCGCTAACTCAAGGCACTTCATGACTCCAAATGAGTGGCTTAAACTGCCTACAAGATACATAGAAAGTGAATTTTGTCAAAGAAGCAGGTAATGGGAAATATAATATAGGTTATAGAACCTCTCAGAGTTTGAAAACTTCTTCTTGAGGTAACTATAAATTCTGTGCACAGTTAAGTTTTTTTTAAATTACTTTTCCAGGAAAAAAAAATATGGTAATTTTTATTTCTTCCTCTCTACTTGATGTTTTTTTGTGTGTGTGTTTCATTTTTATTGGGTACTTTCAAAATTTGTTTTTCCTTTCTCTTTGGTTTTCATTAAACTGTAATATGTGTAAGGTTTTTTAATCCTTTTATTTATTCTACGTAGGTGTTGTATTGATTCTGCATCGGGCTGCTAACTGCCAGGTTAGCAGTTCAAATCCGTCATCTGCTCCTCAGGAGAAAGAGGAGGCTGTGTGCTCCCTTCAAGAGTTAGTCTCAGAAACCCACAGGGCAGTCCTACACTGTCCCATAGGGTCACTATGAGTCAGAGTCCACTCAGCGGCAGTGAGTGTGGTTTGAAGCCTTTAAAATGTATCCTATCTATCCTTTTTAGAGCTTTTTGAGATTTTGGGGTCTGTGGTGATGTCCTTCAGTATTTTAGGGGCACTACGACAGCACTAAGGAGCCCTGATGGCAGGGTGGTGATTTGTGGGCTGCTCCCTGCTAGGTCAGCAGTTTGAAACCACCAAGCCCCCTCATGAGAAAGATGGGCTTTCTGCTGCCTCGAAGAGTGGCAGTCTCAGAAACCTACGGGGCAGGGCACCCTGTCCTGTATGGTCTGTGAGCCAAGATCAACTCGCTGGCGATGAGCTTGCTTCCTGGTTTAGCGACACCGTCAACATCTCAAGGTTTCCTCTGCCCCATTCTCTGTTTTATTTTCCTCCAGGGAATCACATGTATTAAGACTGTTTAATACTGCTGCACAGCCCCATCGCTCTTGCATGCTCTCATCTGGTTTTGCCACATACTCGTTCCCTTCTATTTGTTTTTGATTGGATTACCACATGTACTCGAGGATAAGCCATGTTTCCCAGCACATTTTTCAGGCAGTTTTTGTGGTAAAATGAGGTGCCTCGGCTGGTATTTGGGTCAGCTTATACTTGAGTATATGCGGTATTTCTACTGACCTGTATTTAACTTCACTGAGTCTTTCTCCAGCTGAGTCTTGTACTCGTGAGTGTATCAAAGGAATGCTTCATTTCTGATTCCATGATTTTTACTTCTAGAATTTCCATTTGATTTTTCCTTAGAGTTTTCAGTTGAAAAATTATTTATGCATGCAATCTACCTTATCTATTGATTCCTTAACAGATTATTCATAGTTATTTAAAGGTAGTAAAATTCCTATCTCATAATTCCAACATTGGGATCATTGATAACTAATACGTCCTCCCTGCTTCATTCTTTGTTCTGGGCTCAAAGTAGATTTATATTTGAGTTCCTTACCTCTTAATATGTTTC